GCTACAGTCATTTTTTATAACAGGGACAAAATCCACATTTGGATATTGGAGGGCCAGAACTGGAGTTAATCTCGAGATTGAAATCCAAGATAAGGTGGTTCAGGTTTGGTCTGTTTTCATTCCCTTATTCATTCGTCATTTCTTTTATTTAGTACCTCTGCCAAGGAAGTTTGGTCTTTGGTAGCATGTGTGCGTGTCTGTCTGTAAAGATGATAGCTCAAAAGGTTTTGAATGAACTTTGCAGGGAGGTAGAGCGGGGTCGTGTTAACAATACATGAAATTTTGAATTTCCAAGATCTTCAAGGTCAGCTTCATGATTTATTGGTCGAAAGCACCAAAAACTACTTGGTTAGGTCCGATAGAAGATCATAGTTTAGGCTGAAATACACCCTTTAAGTCATCACTGGCACAAAAATATGTCTTGACGGGTTCTTTGTGAGAAGCCTTGAGCATTACCTTGAGCAACACCAGCTCTTTGACAGAACAACACCAGTGACAGCGTAGGAATGGGAAAACTCTAAGCATGTGCAGAGTTCTTGAAGATCTCTAGGCATCTTTTTAAATTTCCATAAATCACTAGAATGTCTACAGGTAACAAACAGTTCTGCTGGAAACATCACCACATACACCCTCTTACCTGGATAGTGGGTGGTGAGCGCTGTTTGCGGGTGGTTGTGGTAGACAAGGTGGTGGTAGTCTCTATAAAGGTGGTGGACATCTCTGGCGGTACCGAGGTGGTGGTGCGCGCCGCGCCCCGGCTAGTGGGGACGTCGCCCACCAGCCGCACGCTGCCGTTCACCTTGATGTTAACGTGGCCCTCGGCGGCCATGTTGAGGACTTTGAGGCCATTGTAGTAGAGGCCGGAGAGCTGGCCCTGGTAGGGCCGCTTCCGGTCGTTTCCACCGATAGAGATAGTGGCCTGGGTGTTGAAGATCGTCAACTGCCGGCCTGGCGCGGGAGGGAAAAGCGTTGATAAGCTTAAGAGATGATAATCTAATGTAACGATAACATGAAACTTTCATTGCAAGACAGATGCGGTGATAGAGAACGTTTGATGAAATGTCTTGTTTCCCTGATTAAAAGAAGTTGCAGATGGTTTTCAAACTGTAATGATGACGCAACCTGGCTT